CGACTAGCACGACCTCACGACGACTACTACACACACACTACGACTACACACGTACTACACTACAACACACACACACACACACACACACACACACACACACACACACACACACACACACACACACACACACACACACACACACACACACACTCATATATATTGTAAAAATATTATGTGCAATAAAAAAAATTCACACATAATGAATATCGTTTATCTTTAAAATTTACTGCGAGCTAGACACTTGTACCTACGTGATATAAGATCGATGAATTTCATTTAGTAATTAAGTAAGTACTAGCTGCTAATTAGAAATTAATGCCTACATTTCGGAATGTCATTGTCAGAATTTTCACGCATAACGCTCTAATTATCTGCCACGTTAAAGCTGGCTTGGTACAGCTTTCAATTGTCGATTGATCGTGTACAAATAAATTTGATTAAACCGTTTATCTACCGCATAACTGCGATCACGCTATAAACTCTTGGCACCGCTATTCTTGATGTTCGCATTTTCAACCTATGACAAATAACTTACCGTAGTTAGCCGTATGTTTGGAGAAGCTCAGAATTTCACACCAGCATTCGCCGCAGTAAGATTGCTTCCGCATGTGTTCCGAAACCTAGCGTGCCCGGTTACTTATATAGTCCCAGGCGCCGTGATACGCATAAATGAACACGCTTGCAAGCGTTGAACCACGGTAGACAACGCCTGCGGGCAAATGTATATTTCGTTTCCTCGTTACAATGACCTTTCTTGCACCTTTACTTTCTAACTCCAACTCGTTTTGTTTGTAGATGTAATCGTTATAATAATAACTACTCTTCAATCTAGTAATATATTTTTGGTCGCATTGGATATAATGTAACCTCTTCCAGCATGTACACATTGTAAATAATTTTATATAAATATATAAATTGTATAAATTTGAATACACGTGTTTACGCTGTAGTTGTTAGTATTGTTAACATTTTCATTGTTATCAAAAGTATTTATCAGTTGATAAATTTTAGTTCAGTTGACAGTAGACGTCAACGAATTTACGTGATTTTACGCAACTGCCGAAGTCATCAACGAAAGAGACATTTTAAATAAATTAAACAAACAAAGGTATGAAAATAATAACTCAGAAAGCAATGTGTGTTCCATTCCAATCCATGAAACAAATTCCCATTACATGTACTTCTTTGCCGAGGTGTACGGCTGCCACGATATTTGGCCTGACCATTTTATCTCTGAATCAAGTTTTCGATGATAAACAAGTTCATTCGCTCCTATGATTTCATTCGCTTCTAGAAAACGAGTTTATTCGCTTCTAGAAACGAGTTCATTCGCTCCTAGAAAAGCCGAGACATTCTAATCAGAGGAAACACAGAAAATACATGCACGTATGCATGCTTCGGGCTCGTTTGCCTTATCGGGATTATTTCTGGCCTAGCCAGTGATATATACTCCTAGTGGCGGTAAATTTCGTTTCCGGGTTGGTTAACCCAGCAGTTAATTTTCAACGGCGTGTCCCTGCATTCAAAGACGTGCGCAGAAACCAGTATAGACGTAAACACGCGAAGAAGTGTTATTGAACTGCGCCGTTGTAAGTCCGTGTGCAATCGCAGTATACCCTGAGCTGGTTTACGGGGCACGTTTTCTGAGGTTGAATGCACTCGAGTTGCGGAGGTAACTACGGGCATCATCATGATGTCGTAAAATCTATCATATGATGTTTGCACGTGCGTACGTACCGGTACCTTCACGCGTGCATGTTTGCGTATGTGTGTGTGCGTGTGTGTGTGTGTGTGTTGTGTGTGCGCCCGTGTGTTCTAATACATTTTAAAATAACTTCAAAACCGGAATTCTGATGAAAACATCGGATCACGTAAGGATAAGTAATTTTAATATATATTTGCGTTGGTACAATACTACATCTATGAACAAATCTACGCTCCATATCTAAATATAAAAAATAGCCCCTAAGAGCTATATCTAATATAGACATGTTTATGATATACAACAAGTAATCATTTGCGGATAATAAATCCTCTAAATAATTCTACACGTCTAGAATGCGTAATATATTTGGCACAATAACTAATTGCAACTTAAAATCATTTATGGAGCGCTGAATTAAAAGATAGGTAGGCCTTATAACCGATCGACCGTTCGCAGGTGTTTTTACTATAAGGCATGTACACAAAATTGATTTAAAGCGGTTTGGAAGTGCTTCGAAGGTTATAGCCTATAAGAATTCATTGGTTGCGCAATCATACTTGCTTCATAGTTGCTAATTTGCATACAATAAAAAGTTCCGTTTATAAAACGTTCAGCACGTTTATGAAATCTCACACAGTGCAAAGTTATCACACACAGTAAAGATGTAATACTATAAAAAGATGTATACTATACGATCATGCTAGTCCAATAAAATGGTTAAAGTGTTTGTTTTTTGCATTGTTTGTAACATGCAGGTTTACGTTTTCTTTAGATAGATATCGCTCTAATGAATTGCTTGTACACTGTGCTTAAAGTGATTACGTCACCGTAAATAGTAAAAAATAAAAAATAAATTTCCACTTTTTCACAAAATATAAGTAATTTTGTTAAATTGCTGCATTATACTTCTTATTTTACTATATTGTTCGATGTGAACATACACTCGTGACCAATCAAATCATTCAGGTTTTTTTTAGATTTTTAACTAGTTGAGAAACAATCTTATCAGGTAAAAATTTGACGATACGTTTATTCCCATTAGTTCTTACTTTTAATGTAAAAAAATGGCAACAAAATTTTTACAAATTTTACCATAGAAAATTCGTGACGTAGTACATTTAATCGCGCTGTAGCAACACCTACGAGCCGTTTATTGATCACCGCCTTGAACCCTCTCAAATATCATCCCTTTGGCCACCTATATGCTCCACATAACGGCGCAAATACAATGCCGTGTGCGCTGCAAGTTACTGAATAATTATTCCGGGCTCATCAGAGCAGACGATACCACGAGAGAGCAGACTGCCATAGCGGCCGTAATCAGCGTCACGCTTGCATGCTGCATTGTGGCGCCATCTATGACAGCAAACACGCGCGTCGCTGCTCCAGTGCCGTCGCGTATGTTCATGGGTATAGCAAACACGCGCGCACCGCTAGGTGGCATGCTGTCTAAGTTAGCAACGTTTTCCAACCCCGGAATATTTTTCCCGAGTAGGATCTTATGAACTGGCCGATCACGCGCCTGTCCGTAGTCAAGAGAGATCGTATCAACGCCGTACATCTTAATGTTCCTGTTCTGCACGAGCCATTCCATCGCAGTTTCGTGTATGCCGGGGAAGTGAATGAGGGACGTGTCAGACGTCGCCGTGCCGAGATACCTTTCCTTGTCCGGCCAGTAGCGATGCCAGCCCGTGTTCAGCAAGAATATGCTTCCCGGGCGAATGCGGCCGTAGTCGTGCTCCCAATTCTCGATGTCTTCTATCGTAGCTTGGTAGTCGGGATCGTTGGCAGTCTTACGGGAAACATCGACGACGACAGCGTCTCCGATGACCTCGTTCAGTTCGATCTCGTTGATTCCCCGCGCACCCTCGATGATATGTCGCGGGGCATCCATGTGTGTCCCGCCGTGCTCGGCCGTACAGAAGGTGTTGGCCTCAACGTAAAATCCGTCGGCCGTCCAGCCTTTCAGTACCGTCGACGTGTTCCACGTTTGAAATCCGGGCCAGTAAACCATATCGGGCTGGTTGGCATACTCGTACGTTAAGTCGATGATGTTTGCAGAAGCGATGGCCACCGTTAAACTGAGCACAGTCGCAAGGAGAATTTCGCACACCGCTGGCGTTCCCATCCTGCTGTACCCGCCTCGTCTCACGGCTAAAATGCTGCTAAATTAAAAAGAGATTTTATTCCATCCTATAGGGCTCAGTCAGAAAACGATTTTATTCCATCCTAGAACAACTAGCAAGTGCACGCAGATATAAGTCCGTAAATTATTAGTAGGTCTAGTTGCATTAAAAATCTGCACTTCCGTTGCTACTGGAAAATGCAGTAGTATAAGGCCCTAGACATATATGTACAGAGAGGGTTTAGCTGAACGTATAGTATAATTGGTTTTGTTAGTGGCAGCAGTGGTACATGTGGTCACTGCATGGGCAAAGTCTGTATAGTAATAGATTAGGCGCTGTGTTTCATGTCTGTTGGCGTGAGAAGTATTTCTCATTCAGGCATCAACTGGTTGGCGATGGTTGGCGATGGTTGGCGAGTTGGCGATGGTTGGCGATGGTTGGCGATGGTTGGCGATGGTTGGCGATGGTTGGCGATGACGATGGCGATGGCGAGGTCTTACAAGCACCAACCAGCAGACGTTGTTACATTGATTTGGAATAACTGGGAATATACTCATAGCTAGCGGGCTGCTTGCAGTCCGTGTAACCGGGTTCGCTTGTGTGTCGGGTGTACAATTTTAATAGCAATAATAAATATTTGGCTTGAATATCTCTGTCTTCTGGTTTTCTGAATTAACCATAACTGTGGAATATTCCGAATTTATTCAGATTTACTGATTTTTAGTACAGATCTACTGAGACAATTCTTATATCGGGCAGACAAACCCGACTTTGTATACACTATATATATATATATATCACCGCAAGCATCGAAAGCACTAATTGAAGCCATTTGTTAAACTAGAAATGCGTAGCTGGGGCCCTAATATATCAACTTCGAAGGTGGCCGGGGTTGAAAATGTTGTAAAACCTTGAGTCATCTACGAAATTAGCTGGTTATAGTAGTATATAGCGGGGAAATTTGGTTAAAGTTGACACGTTTGAAGTGTGGCCTTCTTGTGCAGTCTGTGCACGAAAAGGGTGTTCTGCAGTTATAATACCCTATCTTACTAAATGATACTACAGAGAGCCATCATACATCGCCCGTGGGATAGCAACACCCGATATAAGTAGGTTGAAAACATCAGTAAACTCCGAACAGGGATAGAAGTAAAAGAGCACGGGCCCCGCCCCTTCATGATGGCTCTCTGTAGTATCATTTAGTAAGATAGGGTATTATAACTGCAGAACACCCTTTTCGTGCACAGACTGCACAAGAAGGCCACACTTTCAAACGTGTCAACTTTAACCAAATTTCTCCGCTATATACGGGTGTTGCTATCCCACGGGCGTGGAGGGAGGTCACGTGATAACGTTGACGATGACGTTCAAAACGTTAAGGCTAAAGGCCGCCGCACACCAGCCGATTTTTACAAACGATGAAGCGATGAAGCGATGTAGGTGTGCGCGTTCATTTGTTGTAGACGATTTTTATTTTTTATCGGGTGATCGTTCAAATCAAACATGTTTGATTTTGAACCGATGAGCCGATGAGCCGATTTTAAGGCCGCGCCGCACACCTACATCGCTTCATCGCTTCATCGTTTGTAAAGATCGGCTGGTGTGCGGCGGCCTTAACACTCACAATAAATATATATGTGTCGCCGCGCTATATATAGGCATTGTGATCCACAAAAATTAATCTATGGTGTGGGGACAGATATCATGATGCAAAAACCCTAACCCTAACCCTAATCCTAACCCTAACCCTAACCCTAACCCTAATCCTAACCCTAACCCTAACCCTAATCCTAACCCTAACCCTAACCCTAACCCTGACTCTAACCCTAATCCTAACACTATCCCAACACTAGTGCTGCCACATTGCGGTCACCTCCCTCCACGCCCGTGGATTAGATCGAATACTCACAGACTCACGTTAATAAAATTACGTCCTGCGTTTTGTTGTTATCGGATATATTATCAAGCGCGTATAAAGAAGGTATATGCTTTCTTTATACGCTCTTGATATTATATATAGCATTTCTTATATCATCGATTTTCACATGACCTATATTCATAGATTTATACATGAGGATCATAGTAACACAGATTTTAGTGCTTTGTGACATATCTAGAAATAACCACATCGTAATTAATACATAGAAATATGTATAACAAATAAGAATTACCTGTAGACGTGCTTTCACTGTGCGTCGATACCTTTCGTTGCTGTGTCCTTAGAAACGCACCAAAGCAATGGCGAGCGACTCGCCTACCTTACTGCGTGCACTAATGGAGAATGCTTGAATTCCTGTTCAGTCATGCATTAAATACGCTGCGAGTGTGCCATGTGGGGTAATGCTATCCCATGTGGGGTAATGCTATCCCATGTGGGGTAATGCTATCCCATGTGGGGTATATGCGCATGCAGGCGCGCAGTACAGACTAAAGGAAACTGCGTAATATAGCTTGCTGAAAGCGAGGGGTGGGAGACTAAAGAAAAGCGACAGGGAAGATAGCTGAGGGGCGGTAGAAGACGAAGAAGGCTGGGCAAGGAACAAGGGAGACAAAGGGAAAGACGGGTGGGGAAGAATTAGGAGTCTTGCACCCTACCGGCTAGGGCACTCGCCTCATTATAAATACAGGTCTACTGATAACAATTTATTACATAAATCTATGCTGAGATATCCCCTAACCATATTAAATGCATACTCTGGTGAGATATTGCGCATGCGCCATCACACTATCATAGCCAGATTGTGTACCGACTGGTATATGCAGCGGAGACCTTACATGAAAGGTCTACTTCCTATTTCTGAAATGAGGTCTACTGATGGAATGTTACCAAATGAATCTATGCTCGAATAACTCCTCTTCATTTTAAATGCATAATTTTTGCAAAATATTATTTTTCTCCGGAGATATATTGCGCATGCGCGAGCACCGTTTCGGGCATGCCGTACGGAGTCTACGGACTGAAGAAAACTACATAATATAGCTTGCTGAGGGAGAGAGGGGTGGTAGACTGAGAAAAGGCTGCAGAGAAGACAGCTGCATGAGGGGCGGTAGATAAAGAAGGAGGCTGGGTGATGGACAGGGGAGACAAGGGGACGAACGGGAGGAGAAGAAGTAAGAGTTTTGCACCCTACCGGCTAGGGCGCTCTCCTAATTATAAACACAGGTCTACTGATAACAATTTAATACATAAATCTATGCTGAGATACCCCCTAACCATATTAAATGCATATTCATCGCAAAATATAACGCCTCTGGTGAGATATTACTGATGGAATGTTACCACATGAATCTATGCTCGGATAACTCCTCTTCATTTTAAATGCATAATATTTGCAAAATAGTATTTTTTTCGGGAGATATTGCGCATGCGCATGCGCGAGCACCGTTTCGGGCATTGCCGTACGGACTGAAGAAAACTACATAATATAGCTTGCTGAGGGAGAGAGGGGTGGCAGACTGAGAAAAGGCTGCACAGCTGAGGGGCGGTAGATAAAGAAGGAGGCTGTGTGATGGACAGGGGAGACAAGGGGACGGACGGGGGGAGAAGAAGTAAGAGTTTTGCACCCTACCGGCTAGGGCGCTCTCCTAATTATAAACACAGGTCTACTGATAACAATTTAATACATAAATCTATGCTGAGATACCCCCTAACCATATTAAATGCATATTCATCGCAAAATATAACGCCTCTGGTGAGATATTGCGCATGCGCCAACACATTATCATAGCCAGATTGTGTACCGACTGGTATATGCAGCGGAGACCTTACATGAAAGGTATACTTCCTATTTCTTAAGTGCGGTCTACTGATGGAATATTACCACATGAATCTATGCTCGAATAACTCCTCTTCATTTTAAATGCATAATTTTTACAAAATATCATTTTTCTCGGGAAATATTTCGCATGCGCGAGCACCGTTTCAGGCATGCCGTAAAGTCGGAAGAAAACTACATAATATAGCTTGCTGAGGGAGAGAAGGGTGTCAGACTGAGAAAAGGCTGCAGGGAAGACAGTTGATGGGCGGTAGATGAAGAAGGAGGCTGGGCGAGAGACAAGGAAGACAAGAGGAAGGACGGGAGAAGATGAAGTAGGAGTTTTACACCCTATACCGGCTAGGGCACTCTCCTAATTATAAACACAGGTCTACTGATAACAATTCATTACCTGATTATTGGTACATATATCTATGCTGAGATACCCCCTACCCATATTAAATGCATATTCATCGCAAAATATAACTCCTCTAGCTGGTGAGATAAATTGCGCATCTGCCAACACAATTATATAACCATGCAGATTGTGTACTGACTGGTATATATGCAGCGGAGACCTTACATGCAAGGTATACTTCCTATTTCTTAAGTAAGGTCTGCTGATGGAATGTTATCACATGAATCTATGCGCGGATAGCTTCTCTTCATTTTAAATGCGTAATCTTTGCAAATTATTATTTTTCTCGGGAGATATTGCGCACGCGCGAGCACCGTTTCATGCGTGCAGTACAGACTGAAGAAAACTGCATAATATATCTTGCTGAGGAAGAGAGGGTGCATATGGAGGGTGGGAGACTGAAGAACGGCGGCAGGGTAGATAGCTGTGGGGCGGTAGAAAAGAAGGAGTCTAAGTGACATGGGGGACATGGGTGCATGGCAAGGGGAAGGACGTACGTCCTTCCCCATGCCCCCCATATATATAAATGGGGGTAGTGACGGGAAGTAGGCGTAGAAGTAGAATGGTACCGGTAGGTACGGAGTGGGAAGTTGGAGTTTTGCACCTTACCGGCTATGACGCTTTCCTAAACACGGGTCTACTGATAACAATGTATTATTCCTTCTGCAAATAAGGATGTTGTATAATAAGAATAGCGGTTTAGGCCTACATATCTATAACGATTTGAAATTTTACAGTAATTTTTATTACCTGCCAGTAGATGGCAGACCAAAACTCTAGATGGGAACCACTTTCGTAACGGTATTTGTCTATATATCAATTTCGCTGAACGAGCGATAGAGTGTGAATCTAAATATGTCGACGCCATGATTAGCAAGCAAGGAAAGCCATAGCTTACGAAATGTTTTTATGTCATAGTTATTAGGTAAACTATAAGACTTTACTGACTATAGTATCAAAGTAGGTTTGTATAATTCTTGTGTTGAATTTCATGTCGTCCGATGTAGGAAATCCGAACAAGACAGTAAATCGAGCGTATTGACTTGTGACACAATTTAAGTCACAAGTTATGTCCACAATTTACTAATACAGTAATACTAATAGGGGCCTAGTACAAACTACAATGCAAAGGGTAAAGTAGTAAACTAGAGCAGCTCGATTGTCCCACGGCTACTACTACTACTAGTACTAGTTAGGTGCTCTTACTTTAGGCCTTTCTGACTGTATTTCTTTTTGCATTTTTTATTAGTTATTACTCAGGCTAGGTACATCTACACTTGTGCTGAAGGGGTCATTGTCGTATATGTACCCGAGTATATAAACCGACCAGGCTCTCTGACTGTTACACGTTGTAGGACGTAGTGTCTCGTCAATAGCCTCTCGCCAACGTAATGTTAAGCGAGAAGGGAACTTAATTGTGGCTACCGAGTATAGTACCCCGTCACTACCACTGGCAGCAAGAACAAGCCTGCACGTAGAGCACACACACGGCCATTGACTATAATAACAACATGGTGCCCAAGCCTCTCGCCGCCGCAGTTTCCACAACTCGCCGTTTTCAATCAGTTACAACTCCGGTGTTCCTGGAGGTGACGCCACTTTCCAACTATTGTTGGAATCGCGGAAGACTGCTGAACAAGTTACACCCACCATTTTTTGCCTGCCAGAATGCGCTCAAATCACAGAAATTCCTCAAATTTACATGCGAAATGATGCTTCGGATGCTACCAGGCAAACGGGCGGCATGCCCAATCGTTGGCGGCTGCGCTGATTGGCGCAGTCAGAAAGGCCTAAAGTAAGAGCACCTAACTAGTACTAGTAGTAGTAGTACTACTACTAGTAGTAGTAGTAGCTGTGGGACAATCGAGCTGCCCTAGTTTGTTACTTTGCATTGTAAATTGTGGACATAACTTGTGACTTAAATTGTGTCACAAGTCGATACGCTTTTTCTCAGCTGCAAAATATTCCACTTCTGTTTCTTCAGGCTCTAGTCTCAATTTGACTGATGAGCTGGCATTTTTTGCAATGTGTTGACACGAAATCCTTATGCTTTTACACTTTTATTTGACATTGTTACTGAAACAATGCTGTTGACCAGGTAGGATTTCCTGCAAAGTGTGATTGTCTTCGCAGGGGCACGAGGGAAACCAGGCGGGGAGCATTTTATTCATTTGTACATCCCCCCCCCACCTTTTCGTGGCCCATCAGTGAGTACGGAGTGCTGCAACCACAGCAGTTGCAGTTGGAGCTGTGACACAATTGAAACCGTGAATGTTAGGATGTACGATTGATTGTTAATTAACTTTTTATTTTAATTTCTTACATAGGTATGTTTTACTTGCCTAATGCTTGATGTGACACAAGAAACTGAAATATATTCAGCACTCGCCATGAATTATGTTCAGTGGGCTCAGTGGCCTATGCAGCCATCAGCCTATGCTAATGTACCGCATGGACAAGGTTAGTATCAGTTGTGTTATTGCCTCCATGGACCATAATGCTGGTGATACGCTTGTAAATTGTGCACTAATGACTCTGCAAGTGTACTGACATGCAATCTTGTTAGGATTTTAACCCATAATTTAGGAGAAAGTTGTGAGGACAGTCGATTGTCGGATTAGTAGGTCGAGAATAAATATATATTCTGGATAATTTTGTTATTTGTCGCGATTTAAAAAAAATTATTATTTAATAGGAATTTACATAATGATGGAACATGGTAGATTCTGTAGATTCTAATACATAAGGCTGGCAGGTTCTATTTAGTATGTGTGGGGAAGGGGTGTTATTTTTTGGGGAAAGTTTTAATAACTTCATTGGTACCAATTGCTTAAAAATAAAGAGTAATCTTATACTGAGTGAAGCAAAAATTTTGTATCGATTAATGGACCCCTGTTAACTTCTAGCCGGAGATCTAGCCCTAATCTTCTAGCTAAAATTTTGTTGCCCAAGGTGGTGCGGGCTAACCACACACACTCTCACGTCGCTAACTGATATTAATGGTGTTCTACAAATCACAAATAATTGGGCATTGTAAGTCGCATACACATACTTTATACATTATATTGCATTATACTTACTATACGTGGCAGTTGACTGGGCGGCCCTAGCACAACAATGGATTACGCGCAAAGAGAGTGAGGTAGTGGACGACGTGCCACCAGGAGTGGACATGGTAGGACACGCCGAAACAACTGGATCAGGAGAGAATACTAATGACAGCCAGACGTCTGCAAATGCTGGTACAAATGACTCGTACAGTATTTTACACACAAACTGCAACACTTATATGAGCAGTCAAGGTATTTATCATTATTAGCTCAGCTGCTGAAGTAAGATGCAGCTTGTAGAATCGCATGATTGTCCGTCCGTCCGTCAACAGTTGGGCACAAATCTTAACCGCTCGACGTATGGTCTTGATATTCAGTACGTCGGGGGGATCGCGAAAAGTACTCGGGATGTCGAATTTGGGGGTCAAGAGTCAGAGGTCAAGGAGTGTCAATATTTTCCCCTTAACTTGAGGTATAGTAGGAAATACGGAATTGCAGCACAAATCTCAACGGTTCGACCTACCCTCTTAATATTCGATGTATAGTGTGATGGGGAGAAAACCCATCACCAGCGCGAAATTGGAGGTCACAGGTCAAAGGGCAGTGGGGGGAAGGTCAGATATCAGACATTTTCTGAGGATATGCAAAACATTTTTGTTTCAGCGCTGACCTACCATTTTTATCACTTTATTGAAAGGACCATGAAATCTACTTTTCGCTGATGTGCGAAGAGTAAGTGTCTAATAACCTTTTGACCCTCAAGAGGAGGGTTAAACATTGATTTGTTGACTGTTAACAAAGGACTGAACTGCTTTTGCTATTAGAGCCCCCTCCACCCGCCCCTCCCCCCGCCACCACCACTACGCTCGCACTCGACGCATATCCATGATAACCGTAATATAGCGAAGTCATTAAAGTTACACAGCTATATCTTTATTACTGTACTACCGGTATAGCAAAGCCTATCAACGCGGTGGCGGGAGGGCGCACTTGATTCGGTTGGCAGTGAGTTTATCAGAAGAATACCTGGCTACAATACACGTCAGTTGAGCGCTGTCGCTCTGCGGCACTTGTTCTCTAGCGTTTATTCTTAAAGCCAGTGGTCTTCCTGTAGAAGTATTGTAGACTGAAACTTGTGTGATGTTCTGTTTATATGCTGTTTTGTAATTGATAAATAAGTAATGTTTACATATTAATAAGGGCTGAATATGTTTGCTCCTATACAGTGTTATTATTGTGATCTTATTTGACTGAATGGCCAATTCGGTTGAGTTGTTAACATTTAATAATGCTATTCGTAGTAGGAGTGAGTTGTTGGTATGAATTAATTTCTTATTGTTTTATTTCCCCTTTTATGGTATAGAATGATGTTCGTAGCTGCATTGGGACAGTTTTATGTGAACTGGATGTGTTTATAATTACAGATCCAATGTATGCAGTGCAGCCAAACATGGTTGGCTACACTTGGCCAGGTGGGGCTTGGCCAGCCTGGGCTATGCAACAGCCACAGCCACAACCGCCGCAGCAGCAGCCGGCAAGTAGCGAAGTGCCAAAAGAAGTGATTGAGTATGGTCATACTCCTGGCCAGACCATTGATCACAACCATGGGAACCAGTTTGGTCAAGCGCAGTCATTTGACTACAACCATGGCGGTCAAGAGAACCTTAGCAGTGGCTATGCCCAGGTGAGTGATCAGGAATGTTGTATGATGATGTGTTACCATGCAGGTTTCATTAAAACTGCCTCGCTTACCGCAGAGATGGGTAATTTTGCTAGAATATTTTGCTCGGCTGATTGCGTTGGTGTGAGACACATGGGGAGGGTGATTACTCATATGGATAGTTTGGATCAATCATGCACAAGACTTTGAATGTTTTATATTGATGTTGCCAACTGTAATATAGTAAAATCTACTATAATAATATATATATATTTATAAGTATACTAGTATACTGGTATAGTCAAATACTCACTGTTATGGTTCTGTCTCAGATCAATTATATCTAATAATTATACCAATTATACCCAGTGAATATACCTAATTTGAGCTGTAAAGCTTATGTGTAGTAAATGTCAGTTTTGTATGGATAGGACGAAATAACAGCATAAATAAATAAAATATTTGAGTTTACCAATCTTGACTCGTCTGTTGTTTACATTAAGCCGCCACCGAACGCGCAGGCCTATGGAGACATGCAGGAGATGCATGGGGCGTGGCCCAACGTTGCCGAAGTGCCACAGTTCAGAGCCCATCCCGGCAGGTTTCCACGTGACAGGGCCTTCGGTGGTAGGGACAGACGTATGCCGTATGATGAGATGAGTGGCTCGCCGCGTGGGGAGACTCCTCCCCAGGAGGAAGCACCTATATTAGGTAACCTAACGAGAATCGTCCAGATCTCATCTCTAGCTTGTGTTATAGACTAAAACCCTTACAAATCGTATGCCAATTGGGCATTAATTTACCTGTGTACGAAATGAGTGTTTTAATGCAGGTTGTGTGTTTGCTGCAGTGCTGCATCGGTATCCTAATATGTGATATGGTGTGTGTGTGTGTGTGTTTCTATGCAGATGCTCAGAAGCGCAAGTCATTACCACTGTGGATTAGACAGGGACTTGAGAAAATGGAGATGGAAAAGAGAAAATCCAACGAAAGGGAAAGAAAAATTAAACAACTAGAAGAAGCGAAAGCAAAACGCTTGAAAGAAATGGAAGAGGAAGATAACGAAGGAGGGTCGCCGAAAGCACCAAGAAAAAGCAGATTTGTATGTGATATATATGGTTATACGTGTAAATTGTTATTTAAATAAATATGCAGCGAGTGTAACATACTTTATTTTTGACGTCTTTATGCATGTAATTCCTATAAAAAATGGAATTACTGACGTTAACTCTATACAGTGACTCGTTTTTCATTATATTTATTAATTGTCTAATGGTTTCAGGAGAGTGATGATGAAGATGAGGAAAATGAGAAGAGTACCAAATCAGAAGATGAGGAGGAAAGTAAACAGGTAGAAGAGGAATCAGAAGGAGCGCGTTCTCCATCACCCATTGTAGAGCAACCACCGATGACTGAACTTGAAAGGCAGCAAGAGCTGGTATGCATTTTCGTCTCTCCTCACTTCGTCTTGGCATTTACGTGCACTTGCTCTGGACGTAGCGTTCTAACTTGCCGGTATATATAGCGATATTGCAGTCACGTTTTCCGTTTCAGATGTTGAAAACTCGCCGAATGTTGACAGAGATTCTACTTGAGGTAACGGATGTGTTGGTGCGGGAAGTGGCTGCAGAAGTACACAAGAAGGCACGCTCAAAAGGTACAACTTGCACTTTAAAAGTCTCTTGCCAAATGTCTTGCATCGTCCTGGTGTTACTATCACACTGTAACTGTAGCATACAGATCAGAGTATGTTTTTTGATAGTGAGTAAGCATAAAGGAGGGTGGCAAAATAAGTCTCAATGTGGATTGATTAATTTGGTGTTAGCGTGTGTTAAAATGTACATATCGTCATAACTATTAGAGCTAGGTAGATAGCCGGTATTTTACTAAAGACACTTTAACTGGTGCCCTACACATGCACATTCGATGGAGGTACACAGTCGTGTGTACATCTAAATTATTATTCCAAACTCGTGTTCTTGTTATGCCAAACTTTGTTATAACTGTACAGTGGAGCTGCTGGGTGATTACATCATACTTCCTACCCAGTGCTTTGTCATCATGATTTTTGTTTTGTTAGAGCCATAAATTGTCAAATCGGTCACAAAATTAAATTGATATTACCGAACAGTGATATAACTGAACCTATGCAAAAGGTTCTTGTAGAGATTAAATTCTTGACAATCAGTAATAAGTAAACTAGTCCTAGGTTGTTCAGAACAAGAAACTTTAATCATTAGAATATCTGGGGTTTATGAATCAAAGTGCAGGACACATTAGAAGAACAAAAAACATTTACATTTATGTATTATTTGACATTTAGGGACTCAAACAGATGTAAAAATCATGATCACAACTTTTAGATACTGGATAGGCAGTTTGGTCTAGTGGTAAATGAGTTTTAAGAGAGATGCTAGGTAGTTTATTCAGCTTTAATGAGAGCCACATGTGTACGCTGGAGTTTGCAGTGAATTAGTTTTGACAGTCAGTGGTAATCCTGTACATGGTGTGTAGTGTGTACCATATAAATAATACCTTTAGGTTTCAGTCATGTTTCTTATCTTATTGCGCAGAGGCTTTGATCAGGCCAAAACAAAATATATGTGTGGTTACCGTTACATGCCGAAAAAAATAGGGTAGGTAGGTAGGGAAAACATTTTATTTTCTTGAAATATTTTATTTACGAACCATGTCCGAAGGATGTGTGTTGTGCCTTTTGAAGCAGGAACTGTCCAATTCATTTTTTTATTTTTTTTATTTTTTATTTATTTTTTATTTATTTTTTACTTTAAAAGAAAAATGACAATAAAATGTTTAGGGTTGCTGGGAATAAATAGGGTCGGTCGGGAAACCGTAACCACACCTATATTTTGTTTTGGCCTTATTAGGGTGGTTGTGAGTGAATAACATCATCAGAGAGTGCAGACATGTGCTATGTGCTGACCGCATTATATAGTCTCTTAACCTGATCATTTAACTCTCTTGAGAGTTGTAATTTTTTGTAAATAATTTCAAATGTCAAGTAACTGGTATTTTAAAGGTGTGCATTTTTAACTAGAGCAAAATTCTTTCATATGGATAGAATGCCATTGTGCTTTCATTTAATGACATGTAATTGTAAATATGACCAGTTCCTTATATAAAATAATATCTACATGGTCCCTTTATTTGAGTTATCATTTCTTTTACTGAAACATCTTATAAAACGTGCATGTAGATGTGACATTTATGCCGATTTTTCCGGTACCTGTTTATGGATACTATACCCTAGGATTTTATTAGGAGTATATTATGATAGTGAGTGCATAAATAATAGTATATATATGTACAACTATCTGTAATCACGTATCTGATTCTGTATTTTTGACTGTTGACATGACACCACACGATTGTGCTGCCACCCTGATGTTGACAAGTTTTACTGCTGCCGATTTATTTGACATGTTACAGACTGAGGGCTAATCACAAAATTCAATGCATATGGCGCCTCCTATTATACACTGAAACCTATCTAAGCTAAAAGGAATCCGGTTTGTGTCATTGATTTCTGTATTGTTTTTGCCAAACTTGAGTAAAATCTGTTAAGAAAACTTCTAGCCACTGAAACTTTGGACTAACTGGCCATCTCTAATTTCTTGGTTTGAATAAACATCACTAAAATCTTTGACTTTTAGCTATTATTTCACTCAGAATTCTAGTTCTAAAGTTGGATTTTTAGCAGTCAAACTACCTATAGTGTGTAGAGCAGTGGGATGGTAGATCAGACTTGGTGTACAGAAAGAATGCTGATCTTCAATCTGAAACAAATCTGCATCTTTATTTGTGACGATATCTTTCATTGATTATTTTCTGATTGTAATTTGTATACATCGAGTGTAACCTAACATTACACAAAATTCACATAGTGCATGTGAGTCACATCTGCGACCTACAGAATACCGGCCAGCGAGTTTGCAAATGTGGCCGGGCATGTTTGTGCTCGTGCTGATCGCAGTATATCGTTCGCAGGTCATCGGTGTTGGACTAGCATTCTGCTAGGACCCTGTGTTGCCTTTATCTGATGTTGAGTTTTTTAGCAACTCTTGGTCAAGTCGGCACCATACCGGCTGGGCAGCAGCTAGGAGGTCTGGAGTATGTGGTCGCCACTTTCAGCTGCAGTATTGACTGAAAGCATGAGTGTACTAAATGTATTCTTGGTTGTATGTACAAAGCACCAGCAAAGCAGCTAGCTTCTACCACTGCTTTGGCGTCAATCACGGGCGGTCTTGGTAAGTGTCACATTTGCGTTTCCCTCGTGTGTGAGCTGACACCCAGCTTAAAACTAAAACTGCTGAAACCATGTGGGTGATTCAGTAACACTGTGACGTTCTCACCTCCATTAATTTAAATGAATGCTCCTGACTGTCGTTACTGATGTAATTTCGATGCCACGTCACATGCTCGATCCGATAAGGTCAGAGCCATGTGTTTGTGGAAACGGTTTCAGTAGAGTTGCAGTTAGAGTATTATGCTTCTATTCATGCTGATCTGCTTTAAAATAAGGTACACGTCAGTTGCATACACACTCAAGTATTTTGCATACAAGCATTATCTACATCTTTGAATTATGAAATTGCGAATAAACTAGGAATAACTAATCGGTAAATTTCATTTGATTGTCCGGGAGTCAATCAGTTTGAGAAACACGGTTTGGTTTGTATATACCGATCATGGCTCTCACGTGTAAATATCAAAAACATTAATGAAGCGTCATTTGTGATTACATACATTGTCATGAAAATATTTGGGAACATTTTTGGAAATATATCTTGGGGGGGGGGACATCCGCTGTCCATACAATCGGTAGGCACTGCGCGCATGTAACACGCGGAATGGCATCTTCTACGTGGAAGCTAGGCTCGTGCTGATCGGCTGCTTGCACTGTTGCAGGTCTAGCTGGCTACGGGTCGGACTCGGATAACGAGTCGGCGGTGGACAGCCGAGTGAACAGTGGTGAGGAGGAGGAAGATGACGGTGTGGACAGTGATGCCGAGCTCCAGGACAGCATTCGCGTGCGGCGCGCCGCCTTCCTGCGCAAGCTGCAGGAAACACAAGAGCAGCAGGTTGCCGCCGACGACGATGACGACGACGACGACGAGTCGGGCAGCGACAACAACAAGAGCGTGGGTGCGTAACCTCGTGAATGATAGTCTTCAAAGTCCAAGGGGCTATATCGTAGATGGGGGGGGGGGTTGATCAAGTAGACAGATCAACACTGCGGATCGCAGTAAAAAAAGCCTCAAATTTGCAATTTACTAAAGAGGAAGGGAGAGAATTCCAATATGGAATGACAGAAACAAAGAAGCTAAACTTAAAGGGATCCTTAGTATCGATGCGAGGGGGGTGGGTTTGACGTTACACTACCGACACCTTCCCCTCGAACGTTTTCTGTCTGGAACATCTTCTCTTTGGAGTTGACAGTCTGAGTAGCATCGTGTTGTTCTGTTAACTGCATGTACAAACCGTATCAAAATGCGAGTCACGCGAGAGATAACATTTCGCTTTTATTTATTAGGTGACCTTAAAACACGATGTCGTTTTATTGCAGAATCTAAAGAATTGGAGAAGGAGTCGGCAGCTCAAGATATACCGGAGAGTGGTAATCCACCGACAACAGATGAGAAAGGGGGCTATTATTTTGAGAAGAAAAATGAGGGAATACCAGGGCTTGATGTAAAACCAGATTCAGTTGCTAGTAGTTCTGATTCAGAATCCTCCAGCAGTGAGTCGAGCAGTAATAGCGAACGTGAGAGGCGAAGAGTGAGAAGTGAACGCTCTAGGGATAAGAAACGAGACAAGAAGCACAGGCATCGATCGAAGAGCGTTGAACGACATGGGAAAAATAGAGACAGAAACGATCGTGACAAACATAAGCATAAGAGTAGGGAAGAGCATAGATCAGGTGAAAGGTCGAGACATAGGTCGACGAGAGATAAGTCTAGAGAGCGTAGCAGGAGTGTAGAGAAACATAGGCGACGGAGTAGGTCTAGAGAGCATAGTCGGAGCGTAGAAAAGAGTAGGAGGGGCAGTACTAGACACCAAAGCCCATCGCACAGTAAAGACGAGGAGAGGAGGCGGGCAAGGGAGAAAGAAAGGGTTAGGGAAAAGGAGAAGGCGAGAGAGTTAGAGAGGAGGGACCGGGAGAGGCACCGGGAGAGCCGCAGGAGTAAGAAGCGCAGGACTCGCAGCGGGAGTAGCGAGGGAAGCGGCAGTAGGGAACGCCGCAAGAAGCGCAGTAGAAATCGCGAGTCGAGCGAAGAGAGCAGCCGCTCTCGTCGCAAGTCCAAGAAGTCGAAGCGCAGTCGCTCGCCCGAACGGCGCAGGCGAAAGGCGTCCAAGTATTCCAGCGAGTCTGCGTCTTCGAGTCTGGAAAACGCACGCGGTTCTCCAGAAAGGTCTGTATCAGATGAAGAAGTGGAGGAAGATAGAAAAAGATCGGGTAAGAGGTCCAGTCGGAAGAGCAAGTCGAATTCATGAAAAATGTAAGTACCTTTCATGTTGACTTTTCCATTTTGTTTGTGTTAGCGTAGCACTTGCCGATGTGAAATGGTGTGCAGTTTCTGTTGTAATATTATATTTTTAGTGATATGGCAAGTGTGTTTTGGTTTATAGTAAATAATTGTTTACTTATTTTTGAAATAGTTTAATATTACGTATTCTGTTTCTGTATCTGCATATCTGCTATGTCATGGCTGTGGTAATGGTAAAGAGAACTATAGCGTAATATAATTGACAGTAATGTTCGATAATTACTGGTCCGTAGTTTTACAAAACTTAGGTAAGTATAAAAAAATACTTGAGTTCCTTTTTCTCTGCAAGGTGCGTGTATGTTCTTCCAGGTTCCTGGTGTGAATTGCACTCATGAGCTTTTTTCTGCTGTTGTGTGGGTAAGTGTAAAGTTTACTATTTGGACAACGATTAGCTTCCTCAAGACGTGTGTAATATTGCCAGTGAGAGGGAGAAAAGTCATTTCACTGTAAATAATGTTGAAAACACTACTTTGGGCTAAATGCTTGAAGCTTTACGATGCTTATTTTCGCCACAAGGTGTCATTTCGTACTAATTGGAGAAGTGCTGAGAGAATGCGTAGAAAGTTGAGAGGAAAAAAGAGGAGAGATATGGAGTGAGCGAGAGAGAGAGAGAGAATGTAGGGGGGGGGGAGCAAGACAGAGAGGGAGAGACTAGTGAGAAGAGTTAAATAGAGTGTATGCCTGTATTGTTGTACAGTCTAAACATGTTATATAACTTGTTATTGCTTGTGTTTAATAACTGTGTTTTGGAACTAAAGGGATAATGCTTCTCCGATCCAAAATTTATCATTATTTTCAGTTAAACTGGACTCTATGTCACATACAATTTTTACTGGTCAATATGTGATAAATAGGGTCAAGATTTTTTGAAAGCCAGATTTAAGACAATGACTGATGCTTGTTCTGGATAACGTTGCGGCTTGTGCTGCCTCCTGTGGTGATGATGTGAGTTTTGCTACAAATAGAAATTGAGTAGATCCATACTGAATTCGACCTGACACCAGTTGTGTCAGCCATTTACCGTCGCTAACATTGTCGCAGCTATTGATGAAATTTTGAAGCGACTAATAAAAGCGTTAATCGAATTGTACATCATGATACATGTAAGTTTTTACAGATAATCATGGAGACTTGAGTTATTAAATCTGTTCAGATTAACATTCCAAAAACAAAAACCTGATAATCATAACTTGCGTCATCATCGTGGTGACCGGCACAAGCCTGCCAGCCTGCCAGGTTTCACTATGAAGTGAGAGTCACATAATTTTTACTGAGCACAACAGAAGTTACAAACTATCGTGGACAATTATTGCAAATCCGTAACAAAATTCACGAACTATTACAGAACTTACAAAACAGAACTGCCTGCCACCACCTCAGTCAAATGAATTTAAACTGCGCATGTACGTACACGTACTCGTGTTTTCTGCACATTTAAAGCGCATTTTCGGAAAGTTCTGTAACTGTTTGTAAATTTTTTTTATTACTGATTTTTTTGTAGTTGCCCACAAGTGTTTGTAACTGTCTGTCATTGTTCATAACTTTCAACTCTTGTTTGAATTGGGCATGGAAATGTTGAATTTCTTGTGTTTTGAGCGAGTCATACTATAATATTACTATAATATTATTATACACTCCTGATATTAGTATATCACCATGAAGTTATTTGAGTTGTTTAATAGTACACATTTGCAATTCAAGAATTTGTCAAAGTCTTGATTGTCTACTCAGTGTTGGCACAGGTTTGCTATAATAGTAGCAGTTTAGCTTAGAACCATGTACATTTATTTACGTGGTATAACACACAAATAAGTGTGTCGAGATATGGACCTTGGGTATAGTTTATAGAATTCCTGTTTGGTAGAACCACCTTGTTAACGGACGGCATTTGGATATCCCGACTGCATCCTTATCACTATACGTGTGATTGTTTTATTAGGAATAAAGAATCAACGCCTGTCGTAGTACGCTTTGCTTCTTTGAGATATGAACAGCTCTGCATGTGTTTATATGTAACAGTAAACGTTCTGATATCCTGCCATGCCGAGATATCTCGGTCAGCTACTATAAGTGTTTATCACAAGTGTACATAGTTGTCTTTTAATCACATCCTATTAACGTTCGACTACACAGTATGTAGAGTATCAGCGTAAAACCAAGAATTGTTTCTTATAGATGTGGGCTCATAAATTTTTTTTTTTACCTTTGTGAGTGAAATCACTTTTGTGTATGCAATAAACGATCGGCTTGCAAAGGACAATGTCAGGAGGCAGATGATGTACTTGCAATTATGATTCTGGGTATAATAATAATAGCAGCCATCAAGGAATTGGTGGATGAGGACAGTGGTGTAAAAAGGCAGCGATGCGTTTTCTGTGTCCATAAAGTAACCAAGAATAAGGAATGTTAGAGGGGAAATAGTGACAAAATATTCATGAACTGGTTGGTTGTGATTACTATTTCTCTGCATACTCAAGAATGCCTCGTTAACGGGTTGTTGAGATATTAGACAGTATGTTAAAATTAAAGGTTTCGAACGCATTAGACGAGAAAATCGAAAGTAGTTGTCACAGGTGCATTAGCTGGAGTATGACCCCACCATTGTATAAATACTTATAACTTCGGCAGTATTGAAAATTGTTTGTGAACAATTTCCGGGGCGCATGTGTGACTTAATCACTCCTCTTTTACTGTTAATTCATCAGTTCGTGTAACTGATCAGCGTAACTGGATCCAAAGCTAAATAATTCAGTGCACAAATTCCAAATTTAACATTTTTCACCTTATCGAAAGGTCCTAGCCAGAAAAACCCACCAGCAGAATCCACATTATTTGTGTCTATTTCAACCTTGTGCTTCTCTTTACAATTTGCATTTACTTATTTTGGAATCTGTTCAGGGTCTCAATGAGCTTCTGACGATATGACGATTGTAAAATTACTGCATTGTAGTTGGTTTAGAGCATTCAGCATGCCATGAGATATAAGCCAATGTTGCCTGTTGGAAAATCAATGTTCTCCGCCGGTCAAATGAAACTGTCTGTACCTCGAAATCCCTGTCGAACCTTAAGATTGCAATTAGTCACTGGCGAATGTGATTACATAAATGGCGACCTCTAATGTTGACTATTGATGTAAAAATTGCTGTGGATTCTAGTTTATCGCAGGATGATAATTATTTATGGTAAAAACGATTAGGGGGTGAGAGTTTTTGAATCATAACGTTTAAGTTCACATCTACTGGCTTACGCGTAATGAATTGTAGCTAGACAGAGATTTCATTAAAAGCATACGGCGAAATTCATCCACGTACGTCTGGCTTGTGCAGTGAGTGTATTCTCATACTGTTACAGCGTAGAACCCTTTGAGCCTTTAATTATCTTATCTTTCCTGTTACTCATATTTTTTTTAAATCTGTTTTGAGAAAACCGTTGGTTTAGACTACGCCTAGGTCTTTACATGACATACAGATGCTCGCCATAGCTCACAGTAGGTTGTTGATTTAGATGATTATCAAGACATACTTCAAAATAAATAATAATGAAAACATGTAGCTTCATAATGAAGAATTGAAACGCGAAGTGTGTATGGTACTCTTATTTACATTGTGGTTCTAGAACATTTAAATGACGTTAATTGTCGACAACTCGCATCTAATAATGTAGTAATATTATGGCATACTCTTGAAAATATATATGACAAAACAATTATTGCATGCTTGTTGGGGCAACGTGGAGTTTTGTAGCCCTCATATATTTTACCAGAAAACTGCCATGTTTTCTTCACAGCCATGCAAAAATTGTATATTACTTCAACAAAGCTAAACAAATGCTGTTGTGGAATTTCTAATGTTGAAATATACGAAGAATGTGGATTTCACTTGCAGGTTGCTATTGGCAGGAGATTTTGAAACGCGCCTATTTTCAGGATTTTAAGATTGTGAATTAGTACACATTCTATGTTCCATTCTATATTCTGTGCTCGTTGGTCCCCTGTGTAAATCGGGCCATTAAAGGCATCACGTCACAAAAATTCACTTCTGTCAAATTTTATTTCAACTAACATGGCCACGTTCTTGGCACCAAGTCATATCATGACGTGTAGATAATTTAAAAATAATCCTGCTTTTGAGAATAAAAATGCATCGAAGTAGCATGATTAACTTTCAGCGGGTCTTACTAAGAGATAGTGATGTAATAAAAAGTAAACAATGTCAAGTGTCCTTCAGTTTCGCATTGACGCTATACTGTTCAAAGAGATACTCGAACTGAATTTACTTTACTTACTATATATAGCCAGACAGTACTTATTAGAAGCGAGTGAGTTGAAACCACTGCGTACCTTATGACGGCGCTTGCATTCTGTTTGTTTCATTTTTGTGAAGATATTTTTTTTACAATGAAATAATTAACTTATAATACGAGATAGCAGCACAGTTATAGTATTTCATCAATATCAAGGGTCCGTAATAGAACATTTTTTGTGTCTAATAGACTCTTGATCTTTTGTGATGTAATAACTAAGTTTCTTCGTGAGTAATTCACTTGCTATATGTGTATTTTCATACAAAATCTATAGCTGTGTCGTTTTCCATCCTTGTAAGTATAAGTGGTATATATGGTAATATCATAAAATCGCCATAGTTGCATTATGTCTTTCTTGCATACACAAATTTTGTGTAAAGTAATAAAATAGTATTCTGAATGAATAGATGTGTTTGGGGTTGTTTCAAATGGATTTGTCTGAATGAACAGCCAGCCATACATAGAATCAAATTTGAGTGCAACCATATTTGTGCAGCATAAAAGCATAAAGGACGGACGGTGCATATTTTCGTTCGAATACCAACGGCAAAGATAGACTTTTTAATAAGCCAGTTCGTAGTTACAGTCTGCGTATGCGCGAACTTAGCCACGAATTCTTCTGGGTAAGGTCATTTGTGACAAAATATTTCGTATTTCGACCGTACATCACACATACGCATGCAGCTGTGTCGTTGTAATGCTACAGTCTTCGCGTGTGCACGTACACGTTCGTGCGTGCGTGCGTGTGCACGTACACGTTCGTGCATGCGTGTGCACGTACACGTTCGTTCGTGCGTGCGTGCGTGGGTGCGTGTGCACGTATGCGTGCGTGCTTGCGTGTGCACGTACACGTGCGTGTGTGCGCGCGTGTGCACGTACACGTGCGTGTGTGCGCGCGTGTGCACGTAAACGTGCGTGCGTACGTGTGCACGTACACGTGTGTGCGTGCGTGCGTGCGTGTGTGCGCGCGTGTGCACGTACACGTGCGTGTGTGCGTGCGTGTGCACGTACACGTGCGTGCATGCGTGCGTGTACACGTACACGTACGTGTGTGCGTGCGTATGCACGTACATGTGCGTGCGTGCGAGCGTGCGTGCATGCGTGTGCACGTACACGTCCGTGCGTGCGTGTGCACGTACACGTGCGTGTGCACGTACACGTGCGTGCGTGCGTGTCAACGTACACGTGTGTGCGTGCGTGCGTGAGTGTGCACGTACACGTGCGTGCATGCGTGCGTGTGCACGTACATATGCGTGTGTGCGTGCGTGCGTGCGTGTGCACGTACACGTGCGGGAGTGCGTGCGTGCGTGCGGTACGCACGTACACGTGCTTGCGTGCGTGTGCACGTACACGTGCGTGCGTGCGTGCGTGCGCACGTACACGTGCTTGCATGCGTGTGCAAGTGCACGTGCGTGCATGCGTGTGTGTGCACGTACACGTGCGTGCGTGCGTGCGTGCGCACGTACACGTGCTTGCATGCGTGTGCAAGTGCACGTGCGTGCATGCGTGTGTGTGCACGTACACGTGCGTGCGTGCGTGCGTGCGCACGTACACGTGCTTGCATGCGTGTGCAAGTGCACGTGCGTGCATGCGTGTGTGTGCACGTACACGTGCGTGCGTGCGTGCGTGCGTGTGTACGTACACGTGCATGCGTGTGCACGTACACGTGCATGCGTGTGCACGTACACGTGCATGCGTGTGCACGTACACGTGCGGGCGTGCGTGCGCACGTACACGTGCTTGCATGCGTGTGCAAGTGCACGTGCGTGCATGAGTGTGTGTGCACGTACACATGCGTGCGTGCGTGCGTGCGTGCGTGCGTGCGTGCGTGCATGTGCACGTACACATGCGTGCGTGCGTGTGCACGTACATGTGCGTGCGTGCGTGCGGACGTACACGTGCATGGGCACGTACGCGTGCGTGCGTGCGTGCGCACGTACACGTGCTTGCGTGCGTGTGCACGTACACGTGCGGGCGTGTGGGCGTGTGCACGTACACGTGCGTGCGTGCGTGCGTGTGCACGTACACGTGCATGCGTGCGTGTGCATGTTCACGTGCGTGCGTCATTTGTGACAAAATATTTCGTATTTCGTTCGTACAGTACACATACGCATGCATCTGTGTCGTTGTAATGCTACAGTCTTCGCGTGTGCACGTACACGTTCGTTCGTGCGTGCGTGCGTGCGTGCGTGCGTGCGTGTGTACGTACACGTGCGTGCGTGCGTGTGCACGTACACGTGCGGGCGTGCGTGCGTGCGTGCGTGCATGCGTGCGTGTACACGTACACGTGCGTGCGTGCGTGGGCACGTACACGTGTGCACGTGCGTGCGAGCGTGCGTGTGCACGTACACGTGCGTGCATGCGTGCGTGTGTACGTACACGTGCGTGTGTGCGTGCGTGTGTACGTACACGTGCGGACGTGCGTGCGCACGTACACGTGATTGCATGCGTGTGCAAGTGCACGTGCGTGCATGCGTGTGTGTGCACGTACACGTACACGTGCGTGCGTGCGCACGTACTCGTGCGGGCGTACGTGCGTGTGCACGTACACATGCGTGCGTGCGTGTGCACGTACACATGCGTGCGTGCGTGTGCACGTATACGTGCGTGCATGCGTGTGCACGTACACGTGCGGGCGTGCGTGCGCACGTACACGTGCTTGCATGCGTGTGCACGTGCACGTGTATGCGTGCATGCCTGTGCACGTACACGTGCGTGCCTGCGTGCGTGCGCACGTACACGTGCTTGCGTGCGTGTGCACGTACACGTGCGTGCATGCTTGCGTGCGTGCGTGTGCACTTACACGTGCGCGCGTGTGCACGTACACAGAATTTGTGTACATAAACGTACTGAACCGAGAGCGCACGCCGCACTCGATATTTCATCGATTTTTGTCACAAATGACCCGGTGACCTGTGACGTCACACAACCTCTTGGCTAACTTCGAACTGGCTTATTACATAAGATAGATTGTCGTGTTACACATACATGCAATAGCAAAACCACACAAATCATTATGTTGGTTGATATTATACAGTTACACATGGTCAAACATTATGCCCTTTGTACAAAAAATGGTCATGGAAACAGCGATGAACACCGATTTTTTATGGAATAGACAAACTGCCGGTCCCGTTTTTTTATTGTTTACTTAAAGCGAAGCAAGTAGCAGTGCTCCCCCACCACTGATAACTATATTATACATAGTAGACACATTCGCGGAATTAATTCTTCTGTATAAATTTTATAATAGATGGAAAATGTCCGAGTTAATCGTGAGTGTGTAGTTAAACTGTTGTTATCGCCAGAACAGGCTTAAATCACGTGCATTTCACATTTTTTGAAAAAGTATTCTGAAAAATATACCAAATGTGCCCATACAGAAAGGATTGCACCGACTGTACCATCATTCTATATCAGTTTGACAAATGCTTTTTCCATGTTCATTTCATAGTAGCTTAGAGTAACTCGTAGATTCCTGGTTCCACCTGGTAGACCCGGGTTCCTATATTTTCTGATAAATACTTCTCTATGAAACTGCAGCAAGCAGTTACCTTGCGACTATCAATCCACGACAACGGAACGAGGCGTGCTGCACAACAAAGAGTATGTATATTTCACTAGCCGTAGAAGTTTATTATTGCTCTGACGTTGTTCTACCGGTGTACTAGCCCCTTCGTTCTCGATACAGGAGAGATTCCTGTTAGCGGGATCAAAGAGGCTACACCGGTAGAGCTAGCTCCAACGTAGTTGACAACATTTCTTACATAAATTTGATATAGCGGTAATACAATTCCGTGCCTTGGTTACCTTCTACACTTCTCGTATCTGCAAGATTAGAATGCTGTTTTAGAATGAATAAAAATCCGTGTTAAAATAGAGTCCGATATTTTAAACTTCCAAGATTTTCCAAGAGCATTTTGTATAAAACGCCTATATAAGACTTATCAAATTGCCAACGTGCTGGAAGTAATTTTGCAATTTATTTTCACGCCTTTAGACCTTTTCACGTATTTAGAGTTTTAATTATTCTTGCGCTGAACTTTTGCGTTAAAGAAATACCGTTATCGTAGTTGTAGTAGCAGTAATAGTAGTAGGTGGAGGAGAGGAGGAGGAGGAGGAACAACTGATTAGCTCTTAGTTAACTCCCGAGTGGCTTTCTAGTTACACTTGCTGGTATGTACAACTTCGTACCACTCGTAGGAACTTTGCATCAGATAGCGGTGCCACTGCAGGCCGTGAAAGTTTAGTCAGCCACAGACCGCGTAGTCTTTTAATTCTTTGTGCGGTCGTTATATGGCATGTATGAAAATGCTCGGTTGCCCACATATTTGATCAGATTTCGCGTGTTCGTCGTGCGTTCTTCGTTTTCGGTGTTTTTGTATCCGGGATCTTGCATTTCGCATTTTATTGGCGCTGCTGATAAATAAATACTCCCGCGGTTGTTGTTTGATGGTCGGTGAAATAATGGGTGTACGCAGTGTTTACTCGTGAAACATACAATATAAATAGAAATAATTCAATTCGAATACAACGTTTCAGTAACAACAACAATTATATTTAACATACATCGAAAACGATCCCTCACATGATGATCAGCGTGTTCCGTATGTGAATGAAATATGCCCAACACTCGCACATATCACACATTAGATCCAGTGGTCGAGCGCCGCTGTTGTTTTTGGTTGCCTCGCAAATGGCTTTGTTTGTTGCATCGTTGTTTACTTGTTGTTGTAGGGATACACCAACCTTCCACGTTGCATTCGACTATCTGGGTTTTATTTACGCGGCGGCCAACGGTCGTTGTCGGCGAAATAGGTACTTCTGCCAAGAACGTGTTCTCCACATCGGCGATAGACGTTTAAGTTTACTGCGTTACACGCGGACAACTATTGCAGTGTCATGTTCGTATGTGTTCAATCGTGGTGACACTCACAGCTATGGTTAAGAAGTTAGGTCGTCTGCTTTCTCTCGTGCACTTCCTTTGACGTCAACCCATTGTGTTTGCAGTCATTTAATGTAGGCCTGTACACGATGCGTCTCTGCGCTTGCGTGACTAATTATGTAAACCTGTGTGCTGCCTACACTGTTTCCCAGTGGGGTGGATAATGATCCGTGGGCGATGTCTGTGCTGCTATTAAACTTCCTGGTCTGGCTCCCTTCGAGAAATATATGACGTCACCGCCTGTTAGAAACGCCGCCCACCAGCCGAACGTCCCCGTGGTGATGATTGTGTGGTCGCACATGCGCAGAATTGTCATGTCGACTTCCGGCGCTTGGCCGTCGTCCATGAAAACAACGTCGGGACCATCTATGTTTGCTTGGCACCACGCCAGGTCGTTGCTGGACGCGACGAACACGGCGCCGGGATATCTGGCGCGGTAGATTCCCATCGCCGCCGCCAGGTAGCGCTCGTCGGCTGCTACGTATCCCTGCCGCTGTTTGTCGGCGTCTAGAATGTTGCCTCGCCGCGCGTGCACGCCAACGAACACTGCCGCTGCGTCGCGTCCGCGCGCATTGCCGACCTTCCGTCGCCACACGATGTCTGCCTGTCGCCGCACGTCGGCATCGAACGTAAACTCTCCGCGCAGCTCGTTGGCGAGCGACGCGAAGTACTTGTACGACTGCAGGTAGCCGACTAGCTGCACGTTGACTCCTCGCGGCAGGTCCATCGCGCGTGGCTCGTACCGCTGGGCGGCGCGCAGGTCGACACGCCGGAAGCCGTCTCGCAGCGCCACCGCGTCGAGCGGCGACCGCAGCGCCGTCAGGTTGAAGTGGCCGAGCAGACGCGCGCGTTGCGAGACGACGACGTTCATGGCGTTTGCGCGGGCGATGCCTATCGTCGACGCGTGCTGGAACATGAGGTTGCCGATGCCGGCACGCGGCCGGTAGACCACCGTGACGTTGTACACGATGACGCCGCCCTCTAGCGGCGCCCGTGAACGTTCGGCTGGGAGGTGCGAAGGCGGAGCGGCGTGGTTTAGTTGTTCTAGCGCAGAGCGGTTATACGCGCGTTGGTTGCGGTGCACGGGAACCCATCTCGGGTTGTCGATAAATCGAGCGACGCCGACGTCTTTATCGACTGGGAACGACGACATTACGTCGGCGTTGATGTACGCGTGATCCACGCTGAGTTCGTTGTTCGCATTCTCAGGCGCGTGCTTGAAAGGCACGAATCTGTTACCACGATAAACGGCATTATTTCGTCTTCGGTTTGGTATGGATTTTGACCGCCCTTGGTTGCTGTTTGCGTGACGGTGTATGCCACCCAGCCGCGAAGTGTCCGGGTTGCTATCAATCGCGCGTTTATAGTTTGCCTCGTTGCTGTTGCGCGCGGCGTGGTTACGTAGACGTGAAGTCTGCTTCGCGATCTCTTCTCGATGAAACTCGTCTGCGATAGATTCCGTCTCGCGTGTGTCTTGCATTGCGTTGTCGGACTCTGCTGCCTTGCTGTCGTTGGTTCTGAGGGTTGAGCCCAGTGTCTGTGCTAGCGCGTGCAGGGCTAGCAATGCTACCGCGATCAGGGCTAGCAATGCTACCGCTAACACACCTAGAAATGCGGCAGCAGTGTTCGGTGATCATTTGTAGTCAATTATACGAAGGTTATTTCTACTTATATACGAACTATAGGTACGTGAGCATTTAGATACCCCATTTTCTGAGTTTGCCATTGTGCGCAATACATTTAATAGTTGTCATATATATATATATTCTGAATTACGAATTGAAAACGTCGTATTCGGTCGTTGTACTCACCCTTGCGTTTTAACTTGAGCCAGATCATTCTCAGCAATTGCAGCGTCCTTCGTACCATAGTTGATACAACTAGGCGGCGTGTACCGTCAAAGATCTGAAAGACTGCATTAGATATATGAAATATGCGCTACATCCTGTGGGCTATGGTACAGTGCGTAGCGCCGCTCTGGTGTGTGTACACAGTTCGTGCTGCACGTCGGAAGGTGCTTGACCGATGGTTGAAGATACCGGTGAAAACACAGGTGGATGAGGAACCATCGACGTGCTACGAAAACGTATTCTTGCGTGTTATCGGTTCATTTGATTAGTCCGTCTGTTCACGTAAAATTACTAAATAACCGACGTGACGACGATGTTGGTTTGGATCGGCGACTCGGGCTGTCATCAGCACACCACGTCTCTGTTCTCATGTGCGGCAGACCGCATCAAGGTTGTTAACCTATAGCTCTTGCGCTATTATAGCGGCAGCTAGCCCCCCTCCCTCCGTGCTATCGGGATATTATGCGTAACCGTAAGTTACTATTCTCGAATCGTAGGTTATTGTGGCTGTAGGAGAACACAGGAAGACGTACCCATGTCATACTCATAATATACCGTACCCTAGTTATGTGGTATTCGTCAACATTGGGATTAACGATAATAATTGATGACATATTGGAGTCTAAATCTATGCTATACTACTTATTACACGAAGATCATGTTTAGTTTAGTGCATATAACCGGTATTTCTATTCCACACCATTTTACGCAATTAATGACTGTAGTACATGTCAATGTCGTCATATCCTTTGAGTAATACGTGATATCTGTACGATGTCTGATGAAAATATTCGAGAGTTTGCACGCTGCTTTCTCAATTCCTAGATTCTATCCGATGTGTCCAACAGGGGGCGCTACAATGTAGAGGATTTCCCACTCGGACTATGTACGAAGGTGTTCGTTTCGGCGTGCTGCAATTGCGCGTATGCATGAAAGCTATGAACGCATTACTAAGTAACTGCGCAATTAATAAGTACGTAGCTCGAAACTGTACGCTATAGAATAAGACTAACAGGCATCTCACGGATAATCCTAACATTCAGTTATCGTAGCGGCACACGAGTCTTTGGCTTCACACGTACTCCCCCTACATGATCTGTACAGCACTTAAAGCGAAAGCGAATGACGGGTAGCGCTAAGCATTATTTTCAGGCAGTCCGCTCATGCACCTGCCATTGCTCTGTTGTATCAGTCTGTCATTAAGTCAAATTCGGTGACGATATTCAAAACAATTACGCGAGAAAAGCGATTATAGATATTATATAGCCATAAAACGCAAACATTACTTACGATGGTGTAAACGCTGCAGAAAGAGCGAAATGTCTAGATAGCATATAGTAATCAGGAGCACCGAGAAATCCAAAGTCCACTCTATACTTCTACACCAGTAATATGAATTTCATCATGCCTCACATTATTCCAGCATCTTCCTCATGCTACACCGTCTTTGTTGTATTTATGTCATATTTATACTAATCTATATTGTTACTTGGATTAGGTTCTCATAATATTTAGCTAGCAGTATTTACAATTTTGACAAGGTTTGGCCGCTGGCTGTGTGTCCTAGACAATCCCGATATTCCGAGATGTAAGGTAACACTATAAAAACCTTTCGTTACCAAATGATGTTTGAACCATTTCGTGCTCAGAATACAACACAGACGGTAAACCATCGTGCGTACACAGCCTTTCATTTATAATAAAAAATACTATTATCCCGTTCTATTATGTTATAATTACCAACCTAAATAATAAAATAAACCATCTATAGATTGATCGGGGCTACGGCAGGTAATCTCCAAGTCAGAATACAGATATGAGATTATCGGACATTGCACCATCGTAAGAATATATTTCGTTATATATATATATATCGATTAAAATGTGTCGCTTGAAACCTGCCCGAATTTGACTAAATACGGACAGTATAGTTAACAATATATATACATACCTTTGAACATTACATCATTCCGCAGGCGCACGCACGCCCGCGCGCGCACGCACTCACAGATTGAGATTGAGATTCGTCTCAACAAAGTTTGCCCATGACCAGATTCGTCGACGATGGTCATATTTCATAGGTTATTCCGCTCTTTACCAGTTCTACGTTCTCCCCTCTTTCACCTGCTCCGTCGTTTACCTCATATATCTAAGAATTTTGCACAAGGGAGAGATAGTGATCCGCTATAGGGGACGGCTTTGATTGGCTAATTTTGTCTCTTATTTATTTTATTTTTTATTATTTTTGGCTAATTTTGTTTTATTTTAGAATTAGGGATAGGGTTAGGGTTAACTGATTTCTATATCCACAACTTATTTCTATATTCACTATCTCTCCCCTGAGACCTACTATATATCTACTCCCCACTTAACTACCGGATCAGTCTTTTCCCCTCACGTACCTCTAGCTCCTCTAACGTCTTGCCCTCACCTATGTTCCCTACATTCCCCATCCCACAGCTAGCTCCTCCTTCACTATCTCTTCATTATCTACTTTCTCCCCTCGTTGACATCCTCGACCTTCCCCCACCTTCTTCTCTCTACAATCCAACCCGCGCCTTAATCTTAGGAGAGGCTCCAACCAAACAGAGGGCGACTTGTCCACTGAAACATAAGACTTTATGTTAAGAGAGTCCGAATTGTCTTCCGAAGCGTCGTAATCTTAACACAAAAGGCTCGTTTTCCATGATCAAAACGAAGACCAGGCACAGGAACTACGTTTTGCAGGTAATCATAGGTCAGTAGCTTATAACTGTTTCGAAATGTTTTAGTGGTTGAGTGTTCAGTTGTTTATGTATGTTTATGCATGTGTATCAGGAGTAGATGATAGGCCTATTATCTACTCCTGATGTGTATGTATGTGTATGGTGTTATGCAGTTTGTGTATGTTTATTGCAGCTCGTATTCGCGATGCCTCTTACGGCTGCGCATTAGAATATTGCAGGATAACTTTTTGTGTAATTTGATGCAATATTTGAATATTTCAATGTACATCAAACGTTGTTTTTACTGAATCTTTTTAATTGTAACCCCAAAATTGCTTAAAACGGCATTGTTGTAGTTGCAGCAACTGTAATAACTATAGCAACTCTGATCCCAAGAAATATTGCTTTTTGCAGTGAAAAGAAGAAACCATGTTAATATATTACAATGTAATTATATATTTGTATGATAAATTACGTCATGTGAAAACGTGATGTTATCTAGAGTATACACAGAATCCTGGTACTAGTGCTGACGTATAAGAAACGCGAGAAAATAATTTAAAATATATAACAAACATAACATTATATCATAAAACCCAATTGTTTTTTTTTAGATTTTAACATAAAAACGCATTGTTTACATATAATTCTCTTGGTTTCAATTTTCATTTCGTTGTCTAATCATTTCAATCACGTACATTCCAGTATTCAAGCAAATCTCCGGATCCTGCTTTTTTAATCAAAATCTGTTCTATACAGGATTGTCTCGGTAGTAATCTGACCTAGGTAATGCGTAAGCCTTATCTAACCGTATGTACATTCGTCAGCGCTTTTGCTAATCGCGCTTTCGCTTCCGCGCACAGGCGGATAAAAAGAAAAATGTCTTTGTTAATGTGACATGTACCCATCAACACATTGAATGCATACGAGATCCATACTGTCTTCACAATTTCTTTAATTTGCCATTGATTCCGGGAAATTCCTTATAATCATAATATTATACTGCTCATATCTTTCCCAACGATTTACTAGGCTTATCTAACAACGTATATCGTGACAATAGAACACGTATTGTTTGCATTCAAGGCTGTGCTAATGAAAATCATCGTCCGATGGCAACGTGGCATAGACATGGCGATTTTTGCCTGCAACGAACATAATGACAGGGCTGAAAAAGGGGGAAGATGGACGTGAGAACGAAGAGGAAAGCGAGGGAGAGAATGAGAGGAATTGAGCGGGAGCGAAAGCTTCATAAAATGTTCACCAATGGAGTAGCTTCATTGTTGATGGAGGCGATTGATTATATGAAATGCAGTGCTAATACAAAGTGTCTTTGTTTTCTCTACATTAGCCAGCCCAATTAGGCCGTTGTGCCCACAAGTTCACCAATGTGGAATAACCGAGTTGCACTAACACGTTTTAAATTAATTGGAAATTATAATTGTTCACTCGTGCATGCGGAGTAGATGGTAACTCGTGTTGTATCAGCATCTGTATTGATCAACGGCCAATTATGCCGCAGGGCGCACCATGGCGATGGACGGTATCTTTGCAGCGAATTTGCATCGGTATCAAAAGCGCCGCAACAAGAAAGTACGCCATCCGAACACCTTTATAAGGTGTAAGTTTTCTGCCTTAGAGGCGCGGCACCATACTTAGTGGATTTGCATCCTTCGACTGAAATGTTCGTGGACTGCCTAATATAAAGCCCCGCAATGGCTCGCACTCGCGTGACCATTAACTATAACATCTGTTACTAAATAATCACACATTGCTATCACAGATGTGACAGTTGCGAAAGAGAGCTGTTAAACAGTGGTGTAGCTTCGATCATATAGGTAACGTATTTTTAAATGTGTATGTCAATCTAATTGAAGCTTAAATTATGCTAAATAAAAGTAAGACCCCCAAACTGCAATCAATTGATATTGCTTCGATCTGTGTAACATATATGGTTAAGTTAAATTATTCTATGTCATGCTCAATTTTCCATAGATATTGAGAAATTTCAACATATACCACTAATATGCCCGCCTTTTATTATCATTTTTTCTTGCAGGATTAAAACTGAAATGACCCTAGTTTTATATGTTTGACTATCCTAGGAGATTTCCTAACAGATGAGAGTAATATAATTTACTGCTATAATGATAGTTATTTATTATAGTCAACCATATTCTATGTATCATAACTATATCATAAACCATATCTCATAACTATTCCACGTGAATCCACAACGAAACGAAATAAATTATGACTGGGCTAGGCCTACCCTATTCACTTTATGCCCCCACGGACCTTGCAGATGAACCAATTAACGTTTGACTAGCGTTGCACCTCTAACTCATAAAACCACATGAAGGCATCTGCTTGACTGCAAACAGAATCAGCTATTGTGTGTGCTATACAGCCCGAGCAACTCATTAATGGTAATTAATAATTATATTAATTATCGCAATTATTTATAATGCTAAAGTGGTTTTTACTTTATTATGCTGTACTTTCATCATAAAAATATCTATTTGATGCATGCATGCCACCATAATAATTCTCACGCAATTTGTGTATAATTATACTCGCGCTAATAATAACAGCAAGAGCTAATAATGGGTGTTTATTGGCTCTTGATAACAGTTATGGTACTGCGAG